GACATGAGTGCTTACGTGACCAGCATTATCATCAATATCAGGACGGTCACGGCGTACAACATGCAGCCTCAGTGCGAGGCCGAGTTCGACGAGATGGTAAACACTTTGCTCAAGGAGGGACGGAAACGCGCCCTCATTGGTAGTATAGCTGTGGGCGCCAGCAACATGTTAAGACTGGCTGCGTTCACCCTTCTCTTCTACTACGGTGCGACGTTGATGGATAGGGAAGGCCTGGACGGCGTAGCCATGATCCGAGGGTGCATGTCCTTCTTGCTGGCAGGCCTGCAGGTGGGCAGAAGTCTGGCTGGTAATGTGCCTTTTTCTCTGGGCAAGAATGCAGCTCGGAACGTTTGGAGCATTGTTGACAGACGCCCGCTGATTGACGAAGACAATTCAGTGGGCCCCACACCGGAAGCCATTGAAGAAGTCAAGTTCAGCAATGTCGCCTTCAAGTACCCAACGAGACCCAACCTCCCGATCTACAGAGACATCAGCTTCAGCGTTCCCCGAGGCAAGAGCGTGGCACTCGTGGGTGCTTCGGGCTGCGGCAAGTCTACTGCGGTGCAGCTGGTCGAGAGATTTTACGACGTCTTTACTAAAGAAGGCCAGTCGTTCGGCAAGATCACAATCAACGGTGTCGACATACGTGACTACTACGTCAAGGGGCTCAGATCCAGAATCGGTCTAGTATCGCAGGAGCCGAGCCTGTTCAGTGGGTCGGTCCGCGACAACATTTTGTACGGCAACCCGGAAGCTTCGGAGGAGGACATTATTGAAGCGTGCCGCCAGGCGAACGCCTGGGGCTTCGTCCAAGACATGCCTGAAGGACTCGACACGGAGGTCGGCCGCGGCGGCTCGAGGCTTTCTGGAGGACAGAAGCAGCGAATAGCCATTGCCAGGGCTCTCGTCAAGAAGCCGGAGCTGCTTATTTTGGACGAGGCGACCTCTGCTCTGGATGCCGCCAGCGAAAAAGTGGTTCAGGAAGCTCTCAACAAGCTGCTTGCCACAAAGAAGTTCAACGCCCTCGTCATCGCCCACAGATTAAGCACCATCCGCGACTGTGACTACATCGTGGTGTTCGTGAACCACAACACTCGTGGCTCTCAAATAGCAGAAGTCGGCAACCATCAACAACTAATGGCAATCAAGGACGGAGTATACAGCAAGCTGGTTCGAATCGCGGAAGGCGCAGGCCACTAGATATAGGCCACTAAATGCAGACCACGCCCGGCCGCACGATATATTCTCGGCCGCGGACCAGTAGCGTCACTGGCCGCGTTAGATCAGGTGAGTAACTGCATCCGTTAAGCCGCTGGAACCTCCCACTACCGACGTGTAGTCTGTGCTTAGTGGGGCAAACCTTTGTGCTTTTTGTTGTGGCCACTCTGCCATGCATGAACCCGGTCACAAGCCTTGTCCCGTCTTGTCCCGTCTTGTCCGAATGTGTTTTTGGCCATTCCCGGTTTAGTGGCTGGCCGCATTGATTTAAATTTCAGCGCGATGTGGATTTACAAGGGGGTGAAGTATTTATGCAGAGGCAAGCAGGGGGAGCTCAAGGACGGGGAAGTGCCCAAGGTATGTTCTATAATTGACTATTTCTCCCACCATGAGCATGGGGTTTTAAGGGCGTTTGAATACTCACGCTGGTAATCACGTACGTCTTTGTTTTAGTATGATAGCAACGGCAAGCCCATTTCAATTACTTACTTTCAAGATGGTTGGGACTGGCTGCTTAAGGGACTGACAATTACAGCGAACCTGCTGGCAGGCGGATCAATAGGACTATTTGCCTGGCTGCTGTTCAAGTTGGCTGATACCCTATTTGACTCGGCGGGGGGGACCTGGCAGCTTTGGATTGTTTACATGGCATTAGATTGTGTTCTACTTGGAGTGTTGTTGACTCTCGGTACATTTTTCGCTGAGTGGTCTGCTGAAAGACAGTTGTTGAAGATCAGGCAGAGATTTCTGAAAGAGGTCATGCGTCAGGACATCTCATATTTTGATGGTTACGATGCCACTGCTCTGGCTTCCAAGTTGATGATGAATACTCGGCTAGTCCGAGACCTCATTGGTATTCGCACATCAATGGCTTACATGTACATTGGCGTGATTGTCGCATTGCTTGAAGTTGCTTTTCAGAACCAGGCTGGTGTTGCCGGAGTGTCCTTGTGCGTGCTTCCCGTTATTGTCCTCTCGGGGTGGTGGGCAGGCAGGATCGAGTACAAAGCGACACTCAAGGTGAAGGAATCAAATGAAACCGCCAACAGTGTAGCACTCGAGGCCATTACCAACATGAGGACTGTGAAAGCCTTCAACATGCAGGACACCATGAAGGCGAGGTATGGCGTCTGTGCAGACATTGCGGAGAACGTAGTGAACAAGGCTTCTGTCAAGACCGGGTTCGGCTACGGCTTCTACTGGCTCTGTATTTTCTGTGCCAGCGCTTTTGGGTACTGGTACGGTTCGCATGTGCTGTACGAAGCGTCTATGAAGTTTTGTGAGGATGT